TAGATTACTTTTTGTTTATCTGTAGCCGCTCTTAAAATTCTCTCTTTATCTTTGGTTTTGGTAAGTTTGATTATAATATGTCTTGGTGATATTCTTTTGGGATCTACCTTATCTGGGGTTCGAAGAACATCTTGGACAGATATTTTGTCATCTTTCACGATATCAGGGAAGTTTTCTGCCAGCAAATCTTCAACAATTCTCTCTGTTTTTTCTGTTATCCTCCCCTTCTCCCCATCCTGGTCCTCCAATCACTCATAGGTTCTCCCTCTTGATAGAGTCCCACATAATTCTGAGGATTTCTTCATTTTTTTATTCCTTTTATCTGATTTTTCCTCAAATAATTTGGTGTTAAGTGCTTTATCTTCAATTTCACTCATCTTGACTTCCATTGCTTCAATTCTGCTCTTATGAGTTTCTACGGAGTTGTCTAATCCTGAAATTTTATAGTTAATATTCTGGATTTCTGATTGCTGTCTCTCTATGGATTCTTGCAGCCTGTTAAATTTGTCATTATGCTTTTCTCTAATCTAATTTCCTCTATTGCGTGTTCTGTGTTTTGCTTCATTTCTTTCCTAATATCTTGAAGAGTTCTGTATATTAATCTTTTGTATTCTGCCTCCAGTAATTCCAAGAAATTTTCCTCCTCTGGAAAATTTCTAGATACTTTATTTTGGGAGCTTGTCTCTCTGGTAATTCCAAGAAATTTTATTCCTCTGGAAAATTTCTAGATTTTTTATTTTGGGAGCTTGCTGAAGCCGTCATGGATTGCCTCTTTATGTGATTTGATATTGACTGTTGTCTCTGACCTATCAATAATTTATTACATTTATTTATTTTGTATTTCCTTACAATGTCCTAGCTTCTTGTTTTGTTTTGATATGCCCAAATAGGCTGCTCGTATGAGCTAGTTTGATTACTGGCAACTTTGAAGCTCTAATATCCTGTCACCAGGTGGTTAGAACTGTTACGAGGTATGTGAGCTCAGGAGTCCGCCCACTCCTCCTGTATGGATTCAGTTCAGGTGCCCAGGTAGATAGCCACCACGTGTGTGGTGTAGGCGCTCACCTACAGTCCTAGACAGGTATGAGTGATTAGCGTAGGCACAGGCATCTGACTGTAGCCAGGGGGACACAGTCTGAGCAAGGCAGGGGGCTGACGGCCACCCCCAGGTGTCCAAGAGGAAGGCATGTCCCTGTTCCCTGTAGCACGTAGGTTGGTGGGTTTTGCAGGCAGACTATGAGCACACAATGCTGTTTGCTGTAAGGACTGGGTGGGGGGCACTTCTTATCATGGACCCCTATTGCAGGTGTCTAGGTGGCATGGGTGGAGCCACCAGTCCTCAGGCCCCTGATGTGGGTAGGTGAAAACCCTGCTTAATGGGCAGAGCATTGTCAAATATCATGAACCTACCACTTCACAGCTGATACAGTTGAAGTTAGAGTTCTGGTATATACCCTGTTGTACTGCGGTAATGAGGGCCCACGCTGTTGAGATGGGCCCACTCAAGTCTTTGCTGGGGGAAAGGCACTCAAAGTCTGTGGATCCCTTATGCCTGTGCCTAGGCGAAGGAGCTGTGCCTACCCTGGGTTCCAGCTTAGGGGAGCTGGCAGTTTATTTTTTCCCCTGTTTGGTAATTTGTTCACTCTCCAAGGCAGGGAGAATGGCTCAGGGTGTGTGACAGATCCTACTTCTGGCCCAGGGGACTTGACAATTGCTGAAGCTGGTCCAGGGCCCAGTGTAGAGCAGGGAGTGGGAAGGTAAATGGGAGAGAGGTTTTTCCCTAATGGGGGTGATTTTGATCCATTCAGTAGGTCTATGCAAGTACTTATCTTTTGCTGATCTATGGCTGCTTCTCACTGGTTCTAGGTTGCCTAGTAGACTCTCTGGTGCTGGGTCTCTCCCAGTTCAGAAAAAATGCCCCCCAAGCATCACTGCTTGCCTGCCTCACCGGTCACCCATGAGCTGATCGGGCCTGAAGGGCTCAGGCTCTCACCAGATCGGGTCTTGTAGCTCCTTGCTGCTTCTGAACTGTCTTTCTCTCCCCCTGCCACCAGTCCGTTTCCTCAACTTTGCCTTAGATGTTCAGGGCTCCTAGATTGTCATATATAATTGATTCACTTGTTTTTTGGGGTCTTTGTTGTAAGAGGATCCACCAGAAGTGTCTGACTACTCCTCTATCTTGGCCCCGCCTCCTCCATATGGTTTTCCATGGCTAATTTTTGCGAAGTAGAACATCAGGCTTTTCTTCCAAGGTACCTATGGGTGGGCTTGAACTGCTAACCTTTCAGTTAGTAGCCGAATGTGTTAAAGTTTTGCACCACCTTGGACTCCCTTTGAAATCATGGACAGTGTCACAGTCACCTCTATTATCCTCAGCATCTGCAGAGCCTGGCTCAGAAGAGGCATCAGGTGATGTTTATTTAAGTTAATTACTGTAAACCATTGTAGGTTCTTTTTTTTTAAAAAAAAATTTTTTTTTACTGGATTTATACTTGTCAAGTGAATTTTTACCCATCACCACCCCATTTGTGCTTTACAGCAACTCTTTGTCACAGGTAGGGCTTCTGTCTCAGTTTGTTAGGAAAAGAAACTGAGGCTCAGTGTGTTTAAGTGATTTGCCCAAGATTCTAAAACTAATTTTCAGAGTTTGAGTAAAACCCAGATCTTCAAACTTTTTTCCATCTTTCCATATCTAATGAAGCTCCCTTGTCCTCCTCAGCCCTCACACCCCTCCCACACTGAAATGCCTGCAGTCCCCACAGCCTTTAACCATTATTATTATTTATCTGTATTGATTTATGAGAGCTTGTGTATTTCCATCTTGGTTGCATAAACATGACTTATGAATTTTAAACTGCTCAAATGTGAAGGATATTTCTGCTGCACATTTTCATGTAATTCCCTGTAGAAGATTCTTGAGTTCCCATACCTCATCCCTGATTTCAGAGCAGGTGTATAGACAGTTCCACGCGTGTTAACCAACGTCCCACCTCAAGAGGTTTCTGGTCCCTGCTCTTCTGCCTCAAGACTCTCTCCCAAATCCTAGAAGGCTGCTTAGTCCTGAGCTGGCATAACCAGGAAATGTAAGCAAGTTAAAGCTGGAGAGCAGAGGGTAACTCTCAACCAATGGGGATGAGCGCTAGGGAAGTAGAACATCAGGCTTTCCTTCCAAGGTACTTCTGGGTGGGCTTGAACTGCTAACCCTTCAGTTAGTAGCCAGATGTGTTAACGTTTTGCACCACCTTGAACTCCCCTTGAAATCATGGACAGTGTCATAGTCATCTCTATTATCCTCAGCACCAGCCTCTTTGTTCTTCAGTGGGAAAATGCCAAGGCCCATTCTACACGGTTCTTTAGAGGGTCTCCAGAAAGGTTAAGCTCAGTTGCCTACTGCAGCAATCAACTCAATAATACAAATTTTCTTGACTTTTTCCCTTTTTGTTTTTCATTCTGTCCACCCCACTTCTGTTTCCTGAGGTAACCTTCCCAACAAATTACCAGCACCAAAGTCCTTTCTTCAGCCTCTGCTTTTGCAGAACACAGGTGAAGGTACTTCCTAACTACATGGCAAAATCTTTAGAGACAACACTTTGCCTGTGTGTTCTGTGTCTGGCCATACTGGACTTTCTGCAGTTTGACCACTCATCATTCACGTTTCTGTGCCTCGGCTCATGCTGCTCCCTCTGCCTTTCCCTCCTTTGCCTGGCTGACATCTACTCATTAATCAATACTCAGGGTATCTACTTCTCTGTGAAGTCTTCAATCATTTACTCCACCCCTCCTCCGTAATTTGGAGTTCCATCTCTATGATCCTGTAGCACTTTGAACACTCATTGACCTCTATCAAAGCCATGATCCTCTTTTCCTTTTTCTTCAAACTCCTTGGGGAAAAGAGGCCTACCTAGCAAGGTACTTGTTATAAAGTAAAGTGCTCCGTAAAACTGGTAGGAATGTGCAGGACTGAACTTAGGAGTCATTTTTTCATTCAGCAAACATTTACTGAGCATTTACTTTATCTCAAGCATCATGCTGTATTACGGAGAATACAAAGATGAAGAGACTGATCCCAGGGATGGCAGAGCTTACAGTCAAGTGAGGAAGAGAGAAGTCAATAATGCATAAAGCATTGTTTAAGTGCTGGGATAGAGGGATGTACTGGGGACTGTAGGAGGACAGAGCTGCTCAGGAAAGGGTAACGTTTGATCTTGGTCTTAGAGGATAGTGGTGGTTCACCACCCAAAGGTAGGCAAGAGCATTCTAGGTATACTGAGAACTACATTAACAAATAAGAAGCTGTTTCTTTTGAGTTTCTGTTTGGGGTGATGAAGCTTTTGGAAATAGTTATGGCTGCACAACATGATGAATGTAATTAATGTCACTGAATTGGACAATTAAAAATGGTTAAAATGGCAAATTTTGTTATACACATTTGGCCACAATAAATTTTTTTTTTTTAAATAGTGGAAAACAAAACAAACAAATAAAAAAAACTCCAGAAGAGGCAGCCTCTTCTAGAGTTGGGGGCTTGTGAGGTTGAAGCCAGAACCCATTGGGCCTCTGCGTGTGTAGGGTAGGGTGGGCACACAGTTATTAACTCCCAGCGCGCTTCAGTTGAAGACATAAATCACCCAGCACCTCGAGGAGGCCGAGGCATGCCAGGGATATAAGCGTTGGGAAATCAAGAAACCTGTCTCAAGCCCCTAAAGTTGAGCACCAGTCATGGAAAACCCAGCGCATCAACGCTCCATCGTCAGCACGAGAACCTCCGTTAGCAGCAGGAAAGGGCTATCCCAACAGACGCGGTCCCCGCGCCCCAGAAGCGGCCGAGCATGCTCAGTTGCCACGACACGGTGCCTGCGTTACGGGGAGAAGCGCGCCGGAGTTCCAGCCCTGCAGGCGCCTGGCCTGGGAAGGGGTTCGCGCCAGGGGGGCGGGGTCTTGGAACGCACGCTCCCTCCCACTCTGCCCCCGCTGCTTTACCTCTTTTCCTGCTACGCGCCCGCAGCCCGCGCGTCTGCCGCCCGTTGCCCTGGCAACTGTCGCGCCGCGTCTTCTTGTGGGAGCTCTTGTCAGCCCGCCGATTCCACCGCCCGCTACCCACTGGCCGGTGGTCTTCGCGTGGGCCCGGAGGCGGAGGGACAACAAAAATGGCGGAGCGGAGTCAGACGGCGCCAGAGGCAGGTCTGTGGGGGCGGCTGAGGGGGGGAAGGCAGAGGCAGCATGGCTGTCCTGGGCCTGAGGGGACGGAGGACTCTGGCAGGGCCCTACTCCTGCGGAGGCGCCCTGTGCGTTTGCGTGGTGGGGCTGTGACCTCGGCGTCAGGGGTCAAGGGAAGATGTGAACCCTTCTGAGTGGTGGGCAAGGGTCCTCGGGATCCTGGTGGCAGAGGGGTGTATGGGGGAGTGTGCATACTCCTGAGTATGGGCCCAGAAAGGGCCCAGGAGGAAACACAGGACTCCGATCCTGACAGTCACCTGTGGTGGAGGCTGATGTTAGGGTTAGGCTTCGTCATGAAGAGGGTGTACATAACTCTATGGGTGTACAGGAGGGATCCCTAAAGGGACATGATTGGGGGAGGGGTTGATTCTGAGGAGAGAGCTGTATGTGAGGGGTGTTTTACTTTAATATCAGGCAGTATCATGGAAGGGAGGCTTACACATCCCAGGGTATTTGTGTTTTGGGGAGGTGTATTGCCCTCAGGGTCACCCCTGGTCACAGAGAAGGTATACAAATGGTTGTATCGGTCCTCAAAGGAACAGAAGGCTTAAGGGGAGCCCCAGAGTCCCAGTCCTTTAAAAGTCAGCTTAAGGAGGCTGAAGTCTGAGTGTATATGATCAGTGATCTTGAAGGTCGTTGAGGATCACGAAGGGCCGCATCTCTGTGAGTGGAAGATAGTCTTTAAGGGGGCAGGGAGACTGACAAGAAGAGAGACCCAGGATCCTTTTCCCAAGAGGACCCCTTCTGGGTGTGACTGGGCTTGGAGAGATAGTGACCTAAAGTGTCTTTTAGGATCATAGAAGACAGGAAGGGTTTTTACAGTACTGTGCATGTAGGAGAGAGTTTGTTCTTAAAAGGGGCTGGAAACTGAAGAACTGGAGCCTGAGTACTGAGGAGTGGCATCTGCATGTGTGTAGAAAAGCAGTGGTTTTGGGGCTATATGTGGTGGTAGCACTGGTATACATAACCTTGTATATGTGTCCTGATTAGGTATTATTGGTTGCAAGGGTGACTCACTTGAATTTTTCTAGCCCTGGAGGATGAGGGGTTATGGTAAGGCTATACAGGAACTGGAAGTGGAAACTCTATGAAGCCTTCAGGAATGGTTTAAGAGACCATTATCTCAAGGCCTGCGTGGTTGCTCTCTCTTTCATGGTGTCTTTTCTTCCAGCAAGTAGTTCCTCTGCTTGTTTTATAGTTTTAGCTCTCCTGTGACTTGAGCGTGCTCATTCCTTTATTCATTCATCCACACAACAAGTATTTATTTGGTGCCAACTATATGCCAGGCATCAAGTTAGGTACAAGGAACTGCCTGTTTCTGATTCTCTTACCTTGTTCTTTTTCTTTCTTTTTCCCCCCATAGCACTTACTGCCTTTGAACATACTTTTTAGTTTACTTATTATTTCTATTGCTTATTTCCTGTCTCCATCCACTAGACTTTAAGTTCCACAAAGGCTGGGGTTTTTGTTTTATCAATCAATTCCATGTGTCTAGAACTGTGCCTAGTGTATTGCAAGTTCCCAGTAAATATTTATTATATGAATAACTGAATGACTTGACTTCGTATGGAGGTTCAGGAAGCTTTCTCTCAGGAAGTGATATTTTAGGTGAGATGTGATTAATGATAGGGATTAAATAAATGAAGATAGGAGCAAAGAGTGGTCCAGGCAGAAGGAAAATTATATGCCGAGACCTTAAGGCAGGAGGAAACATCATGTGCTGTGTTTAAGGAACTGAAAGGAGATGAATGTGGCTGCATGCAGGGCAGTGGGAAGAGAAAAGAGGTTAGCCGAAGCCAGATCTTGCAGTGCCTTGTGGCTATGAAATGAATTTTGGTCAAAAATCTTAAGAATAATAGGAAGCCATTGAGGGCTTTTAAGCGGCAGCATGACACAGTTCCGACTCATAGTGACCCTATAGGACAAAGTAGAACTGCCCCATAGAGTTTCATTAAACAAATAACTGGTTACATTGTGAAGACTACAGAGGATACAAGAATAGATATAAGAAGACCTGTGAGGTAGCAGTGGAGATGGAGAGAGAATTGAGAAATATTTAGGAGATAAAATTTATAGGAATTAGTAAAAGATGGGGATGGAGGAGAAGGAGATATCAAAAACTACTAATAGTTTTTTAATTTGTGCAACTGAGTAGTTGACGGTGCCATTACTGGGATAAAGAGTACTGGAAGAGGTCTAGGTTTGATAGGGAAGATCATAAGTTTGGTTTTGGACATAGCAAGTTGGAGATACCTTTGAGACATTCAAATAAGTGGAGAAACTGACAAGGCAGTTGAGTTCACAAGAACAGTCTGAGCTGGAGATTTTGCCATCGGGATAATTACTGAAGCCACGGCTGTGGATGCAATTGCCTAGAGGGAGAGTGTATATAGTGCAGTGAGAAGAGGCCTGGGATGAAGTGCTGAGTAGCTGCGATATTTAAATACCTCTCAAAGAGACTGAGAAGGTACAACCAGAGTGGTAAGAGGACAACTGAGAGAATGTTTCAAGATAAATGTAATATTCAACAGATTAAATGCTGCTGAGTGTTAACAAAATGAAGCCTGAAAAGCTAGATTTAGCAACATAGAGGCCTTTGGTAAGCTTGATAAAAGGAAATTGATGAGGGTAGGAGCCAGATCATTTAACTTCTGAATTACTATTAACTGCCTCAATCTTTGTTTCTTAATTCAGATTCCCAAGAGAGTGAATTTGATGGACACACATCATCTTTCACCATCAGATCATGTCATAGGTCACATACTAGTGTAGGGTTGACTGCCTTTGGATTAAGTGTCCAGCTATTGCTGGGTGGAGTCATCTGGTAGAAAATATGGCCATATGGTGATTTCTTGTCTTAATAGCAATATCTAACAATTACAGAGTGTTTATTATGTGCCAGGTATTGTACTCAGTGCTTTATATGTTTTAATCCACTTTAACCTCGTAACAACTCTCTAAATTATTATCTCTGTTTTACACATGAAGAAGTTTTGGCACAGAGAGGTTGAGCAACTTGCAAAGATTAAATGTAGGCTTGTAGTTTTCCATGCTATTATAACATTATTCAGAATTTATTATTTGGCTTTCTGTCTGTATTACAACATACTACATACGGAAGAAATCATAGCCGTGATGAAAATTCCTGCCTTACAGGAAATATTATTCCAAGCTAAGCATACTCTAGCAAGGTGAAGTGGAAAGAATGAGGGCTCAGATCTTTGTTTAAATCCTGGTTCTGTGACTTACTAGATGTAGATCTTGGGCTCAACTTTTCTGATCTTCAGTTTCCTCATCTGTAAAATGGGGATGATACTTGCAGGATGGTTGTGAATATTAGAGAGAAGTATCTGAATTGCTCAATAAATGTTATTTCCTTAGTTCCTCTGAAGCTTGAATATAAAAATGTATTGCATATACTTTATATATAAGAGCAGGCTTTAAACACAGAGTGATTAATGTAAGACAGCCTTTTTTTTTTTTTTTTTCCTTTTTTCTTAACTGGTGTAATTGATTTATTATCAGAAGAAAGGCAGACAGCAGATTTTGGAGGATCTAGAATTGTTACCTGAATTATATATCATGGTACGTGTCTCTGTACAAGGTGGATTTTGAGAAATCTCTTGCAGGAGTGAAGGGACACTTAAAATACTTCTTTAAAGCATGCAGATAGCTCTGTAAGAAGGTCACAGTTGCAAAAGGAATTTTCTTCTTTTACATCTTGTACCTTAAAATGGGGGCGTGAATATTAGGGCTTTTCTTCTTTCTCAGACATTTGACTATTATTAATAATAATAATAATAAAAAAACCTTAGTTAACTAAATGTAGGAGTATTAATCTGAAACTAGATTGCACCAGCTTCAGTTTCTCAGATTGTTCTTTTCTCTCCTTTCCAACTATCATGAAAAAAGCTTTTGTTTGAATTACCTGGTAAAATCCTTTGTTTTCCTATATTGACAGGTTTGTTACTTTTGTGGAGACCTATATAGACCAGAAGTTTTAGAATGAAGCAGTCTGTTAAAATGGCCTGTAGCTTGATCACTTTCTCTGTGAAATAAATGTTTTGTGTGTTTTTAAAGCAACACTACGTGAATCTGAAAACATCTATAGATAGAATCTTGAAATTTTAAAAAGCCTTAGAAATGAGAAGACTGTTTGATATCTTGTGTTAGTAGCTATATGACCTTGGGCAAAATAATTAAACCTGTTTGCCTTTAGTTTTCTTATTTATAAGCTGAGGATGGTAACATCTGCTTTGCAGGTGAGACTTACAGATAAGGTGTAGAAAGTGCAGTGTTTCACACTCCCAAAGAAGTGGTGTGTGTAAATGTATGCTTTTCCTTAAAGTCCTAATAGTTAAATCACCTTTAACAGAAAAGGTAATCCATGTTGATAATCCCTTATCGGACAGCCTTGGATGCCGATATATTTCAGAATTCAGTTTTTTTTTTTATTATGGAAGGGTAATACAGTACATGTATTGTACAGTGTAGATTACATACAGCCCTCAGTGGAGTATGGGATAATACGAATACCTGTACCAGTTGTCATCAAGTTGATTATGACTCATGGTGACTACATGTGTGTCAGACTGACTAGAACTGTGTTCCATAGGGTTTTCAATGGCTGATTTTTTCAGAAGTAGATTGCCAGGCTTTTCTTCTGTGGCTCCTCTGGGTGGACTCAAACCTCCAACCTTTTGGTTAGCAGCCTAGTGCCTTAGGTTTGCATCACTCAGGGACTCCATGGGGCAGTACCCTGTAATCAGACATTATTGATATCATGTCCACACTAAGTGAATAAAGATTATAAATAGCTTCACATCAGTTTGAGTCAGGTTTTGTTGCCAAATTGGTTTTGGTGCCAAAGTTATAAAAAATGTACTATATTTAGAGGTTTGGGGATTTTGGAATTGTGGAAAAGGGGATGTGAACTTATATAATTTTATCCTTCTTGGAAATAT